CCTGGTCGATGGCAGGAGGTTCAGGTTGTTAAATATTATTGACGATTATAACCGGGAATCACTTTGGATCGAAGTAGATACTTCACTACCCGCACTGCGTGTTATCAGGGTATTGGAACGGCTTTTAGAACTAAGGGGCAAACCAGGCAGAATAAGAGTTGATAACGGCCCCGAATTTATCAGCGATAGACTTGGAAATTGGTGCGAAGAGCGCCAAATACTTTTACAATTTATACAGCCTGGAAAGCCCACGCAAAATGGCTTTATAGAACGCAATAACGGCTCATTAAGAAAGGAATTATTAAATGCCTATCACTTCTTCACCCTGCAGGAAGTGAGAATAATGGCCGAGGAATGGCAGCAGGATTACAATCATGAACGACCCCATGATTCTTTGGGAAATATCCCCCCAATAGAATTTATTAATCCGTTTCCCTAGAATTACTAAAAATAAAAAACTCTAATTCTTAATGGCCCGAAAAAAGGGGGAGCTTACACTATTTCAAAAAGTGACAAACCAAGTCTAATTTTGAAAATTTCTTATAAGGACATATACAATAATCAAATCATAAAAGAGTTCAACGTTGTTGTCCATGGAAATTTTGACAATGTTACTCTCTATTTTGACGAGAAAAGTTAACAGCCGCTAACATGCGGTTCCTATGTAAAGCGTTTTCGGGGACTTACCGACTTTTGAAGTGGTTGTAAAGGTGCTACATAATATAATTTTTAGACACTACGATTTTGAACGATTTTATATTCTGCCGATGGACACAGCTCCGCTGACGCCGTTAAATCGTCCAAAGGCGTAGTTTGGTATTCTCTTTTAATTTTCTTCAAACTTCGGCTTGCAGCAAGCGGGGGCGACGGAAGTGGAATGGTCATCATATCATTAATCAGCTTCCGCTATTGGGGCGACCGTTTCTCATCTTACAGGTAAGTTAACTGTTTCTGTTTGGCCCTGTTCCAGGGACCGGACAAACTCCTTACCAAATTCGGTGATACTAATTATATTGGATACCCTCTTGAACCTTTCATTAAATAATTCATTCATTAGCAATGGTTATTAGTTTCTTTATTGATAT